GTGAGCTGCTCAGATATAACAAGAAGTTCCAAAACATCTAACAAGGGGGCAGAAATCTGTGACAGGGCACCGGGGTGGCTCAGTGATTGTCTGCCTTTGACTTAGGTTGTGATCTTGGGGTTCTGGGATTGAGTCCTGCATTGGGCTCCCCGCAGGAAGACTGCTTCTCCCCTCTGCCTGTGTCTCTGCCTCTCTCTGTGTGTCTCTCATGAATAAATAAAATCTTAAAAAAAAAAAAAAGAAAGAAATCTGTGACAATGCCAAAGGCCAAATACCATCTGCTCCCTGGGATTCAGGTGCCGTGACATTTAAGCAGACACCCAAAGGAAGTGAGAGTAAAACCAGCCAGACACTGAGGAGAAGGAAGAGTGAGGGAGGAGGGATATCAGGAGCTTGTAATGCCCCAGAAGCCAGGTGACGACAGTTTTGAGGAGGACGAGGAGGGGTCAAGTGCAAGAAATGCTGCTGATGGGCCAAGATGAGGATGAAGAATTGGCCAAAGTCAACAACACTGGCAGTTATGGCATCTTTGAGGAGAGCAGACTGGGGAGAGGGGGAATGCAGAGACACCCCAACTCAAGGGGGATTAAGAGTGAAGAGGGAAGGGAGGAACTGAGGCCAGTGAATACAAGCAACTTTTTGGAGTTTCCTTACAAAGGGAAGTGAAGAAATGGGGCAGTAGCTGGAAAGGTATGTCAGGTCAAGAAAGGATAGGTTTTGCAAGATGGAAGACCTACCAGGTACTCTACTCTCATTTCCCTTCATCTTTCCTCTAGCTGTTGACAAATTTGTGGCCTTTTTGACCTCCCTGCTCAGGTCCAAAAATATTTTTGCAGAGGTCTTATCCCCTAAGAGTTCAGAGCTGGAGGAGGTGAAAGCTACAAAGAGTCCTTTGTTCCTGCTTTCTGCTCTGTCACATCCCTCCCTGGGGCAATGAGTTTAGCTGCCTCTGTAAGGGGGTGAAATTCCACAGCAGAAAGAACAAAGTCAGATATCTCAAAATATCATCCTGCTCCATTTATTTTGGGCCCTTTAGCCACTTGGATGACTTTCCCTAAACGTGGGGCTCCCTGCCTGCCCACCTGTCTGGTAGGGCAGATACTTTACTCTAGAACTATTTATTTTCAAATATTCTGAGTAAAGCGATATTCCCTATACTTTAGGCATTCCTGAATCACTGTTATGATTTTGGCTGTTTTGCCACAGCTCCTATAGTTTTTACTCCATATTTTTATATAAAACACTTTCCTTTAACATTCTTTTTTATTGTGGTAAAATTCGCCTGGCCTAAAACTCACTAAAGTGTACAATTCAGGGACGCCTGGGTGGCTCAGTGGTTGAGCATCTGCCTTCGACTCAGGGCATAATCCTGGGATCCAGGATGGAGTCCCACATCAGGCTCCTTGCAGGGAGCCTGCTTCTCCTTCTGGGCAGCCCAGGTGGCTCAGCGGTTTAATGCTGCCTTCAGCCCAGGGCCTGATCTTGGAGACCTGGGATCGAGTCCTGCGTTGGGCTCCCTGCATGGAGTCTGCTTCTCCCTCTGTCTCTCTGTGTCTCTCATGAATAAATAAAATCCTTTAAAAAAAAAAAGTGTACAATTCAGTGGCTTTTAGAACATTTACAGTGTTGTGCCACCATTACCAAACAGTTCCAAAACCTTTTTCATCACTCTAAAAGGGAATTCTTGGGATGCCTGGGTGGCTTGGTGGTTAAGCATATGCCTTCAGATCAAGTCCTGCATCGGGCTCCCCGTGGGGAGCCTGCTTCTCCCTCTGCCTATGTCTGCCTCTCTATGTCGCTCATGAATAAATAAAATCTTTAAAAAATAAAAATAAATAAAATAAAATAAAATAAAATGGAACTCTTCATCTGCCAAGCAGTTCCTCCCTCCTTCCCTCTTCCCCCAGCCCTTGGTGACCACCAATCTGCTTCCTGTCTCTATGGATTTGCCTATTATGGATATTTTATATAAACAGAATTATGTAGGGGTGCCGATGGCTCAGTCTGTTGAGGATCTGCCTTTGGCTCAGGTCATGATCCCAGGGTCCTGAGATCAAGTTCCGCTTTGGGGTCCCCACTCAGGGAGGAGTCTGCTTCTCCCTGTTCCTCTGATTCTTTCTTACCTCCTCACTCATGTTCTCTCAAAATCTTAACAAAAAAATAAGCAGAATCATAAAATACATGGTTCTTTCTGTATAGCTTCTTTCACTTAATATTTCTCCATTAGTGCCTTCTTTTCGTTTTTTCCCCTAGTGTTATTATTTTGGTTCCCTTCTCATTTCCTTTTCTGTATATAGTTTTTTTTCTTAGTTGTGTTATTTTAAACATTTTATTTTTTAAATTTTATTTAATCTATATATTTACAATTTTATTTAGTTGAATTAGAGAGAAAGCATAGGAGGGAGGGGCAGAGGGAGAGAAGCCATCTAGGTGCCCTAGTGTGTATATATATATATATATTTAAAATTTTGCAGACTCCCAGACTCTATGCAGGGAGCCCGATGTGGGACTCAATCTCAGGACTCCAGGATTAGGCCCTGAACCAAAGGCAGATGCTCAACAGCTGAGCTACCCAGGTCTCTCTCTCTCTCTCTCTCTAGATATATATATATGTATATATATATATTTTTTTTTTAATTTTTAAATTTTTATTTATTTATGATAGTCACAGAGAGATAGAGAGAGGCAGAGACACAGGCAGAGGGAGAAGCAGGCTCCATGCACAGGGAGCCCGACGTGGGATTCGATCCCGGGTCTCCAGGATCGCGCCCTGGGCCAAAGGCAAGCGCCAAACCACTGTGCCACCCAGGGATCCCTGTATATATATGTTTTTAAGTAATCTCTGGGCCATCTCGAGATCTCAGGGTCCTGGGGATCCCTGTGGGTAGCCTGCTTCTCCCTCTGCCTGTGTCTGCCACTTATTTATGAAAGAGACAGAGAGAGAGAGAGGCAGAGACACAGGCAGAGGGAGAAGCAGGCTCCATGCAGGGAGCCCGACGTGGGACTCGATCCCGGGACTCTAGGGTCATGCCCTGGGCTGCAGGCAGGTGCTATACTGCTAAGCCACCCAGGGATCCCCCAATAAATAAAATCTTAAAAAAAAAATCATCTCTACATGCAACGTGGGGCTTGAACTCACCACCCAGAGATCAAGAGTCATTTGCTCTTCCAAATAAGCCAGCAAGACCCTCCCCCTTTCTTAGTTTAAAAGGAAAATTTATTTCAAATTTATTTCAAATTTTAGTTCATAACTATTTTAAATACTTTAATTGATATTAATGTAAATATAGAATTATTAAAATACAAAAAAAGTACTGCTCAAAAGAAATGTTTTTAAACTTAGTGTCTAATGTCCTGTTTGTGTTGTTTTGCTGATTGAATTAATAAGGCCACCTTTTAATAGAAAGTAGTTGTCCAGGGGATCCCTGGATGGCTCAGTGGTTTGGCACCTGCCTTTGGCCCAGGGCGCGATCCTGGAGTCCCGGGATCAAGTCCCGCGTCGGGCTCCTGGCATGGAGCCTGCTTCTCCCTCCTCCTGTGTCTCTGCCTCTCTCTCTCTCTCTATGTCTATCATAAATAAATCAATCTTTTAAAAAAAAAAAACGAAGTAGTTGTCCAGTAATCCCTAGTCTACTCCTGAAACAAGGTTAGGCTGGGGCAGGACACCCACTTCTCTCACAGCTGTCATATGGCCCTAGGGAAATGAATCCACAGTGTCAAGTTTCAGTGGCTGCAGAAATGCAGTCTACATTCCAGGGAAAAGGTTACAGATTGCTGAGACCAGTGTCACCATCTTTTGTTGTGCAGCCACATCATCCACAAGTACAGTACACTCCCTGAAGCACCTTATATAATACCTTGTATATATGGGGGTTGGGGAGATGGGCTCCCCAAGTCCTGAGAAAGAACACTAATCCAGAAGGGATCTAGGAAGAGATCACACTCAGACACCTACAAAAAGAAAGAAGTGAAGCTACCAGGAGGTGACAGTCACACTTCAGCCCAAGGGAACTGCTGCTGGACAGAATGAAGGAGATCCAGGGTGACCAAGTCTCTTTTTCAAAAGAACACAAGAAATCTGGATATTTAATGTGAAATCTGCAAATTCTGAAATGTTGGCAACGAATGCAAAATTTTTAAACAATATAGGAGCAAGTCCTATCTGTGTGCAGGATTTGCCCTGGAGAGTGCTTACTTGTACCCGGGGTGAGACAAACCCTTTATTCTACAGAGGAGAAAAAGAGCCCTGTAATAGAGAAGACATTCGCCAGAAGCCACACAGCCAGGTGGGAGAGGCTGAGCCCAGTTTCCAGAAAGCCGCATAATATACACTGACTCTGGGGCACCTGGGTGGCTCAGTGGTTGAGCATCCGCCTTTGGCTCCGGTCGTGGTCCCTAGACGGGATCCCGGGATCCCGGGATGCCGTCCCGCACTGCGCTCCCTGCAGGGAGCCTGCTTCTCCCTCTGTCTGTCTGTCTCTCTCTCTCTCTCTCTCTCTCTCTCTCTCTCTCGGTCTCCCATGAATAAATAAATAAAATATTTAAATTTAAAAAATACACTCACTCTGGCCTCAGGTTGAAACCCCTCTGGCCTGAGGGGCGCCTCTAAGCCCGGGGGACCTAGGGGGAAGCCGCGCCCCCTCCGCCCGGCGGCCTCACCTCACTCTCCATCACCCCAAGGCATCGCTGCCTCCCGGACCCGGTCCTCCGTCCCTGGGGCCAAGAACGCCACCGCCTGCCCCCGCTTGCCATCTTCGCGCCCCTTCCACTGCCCCCTCCGCGAGCGCCGCCTCGCACCTCGCGTTCCCAGGTGGCGGCACACACACCTCCCCCCACGGCCCGGGCTCCTAGCCGAGTCACCCGCGCACGCCGCCTACTCAGAGGTCCCTCCCCGCGGGTCCCGAGCCCCCGGCCCCGCCCACTCCGCCGCCCGCTCACGCGCCCGGCAGGTCAGGTCGCGAGAAGCGAAGTGCGCGTGCGCCGCACGAGCTTTTATTGCGTCACCGCGACTCCAGAGCGCGCGGCTGGATCATGAGCACGCCGGGGGCGCCCTCGCGCTTGCGCATCTTCCTCTGCCAGGCGCGCGCCGCGGCAGCCGGGCTGGCCTCGGAGTCGAGCTTCTTCTCCAGCAGGTGCATGCGCGCCGTGGTCTCGGTCAGCATGTCCATAAGCAGTTCCTGCTGCAGCTTCAGGTAGTTGTTCTCCTCCAGCAGCACCTGGCTCTTGACCCGCTGCACCGGCGCCTTCCAGCCCATCGAGATGGTCGGCGAGGGCAGCGGCGCCTGCGACCGCACCGGCAGCCCCTCGGCGGTCCACCGGCCGCCGCGGAACACGAAGGCCTCGTTGCTCAGGCGCGTGCGCGGCGCCCCGTAGCTGAGGCCCAGCTCGGTCTGGCGCGTCCGGTGGTCCAGCAGGTAGAAGGTGGACATGGAGGAGATGCGGCGCAGCGGCGGCCGCCGTGGCGAGAAGCGCCGCGAGAAATGGTCCGTCCAGAACTGCCGCAGCTCCCCCCACAGGCGGCCGGTGTGCCCGGTAGCCGGGCTCCCGAAGGCCTCCAGGGCGAGGGCCGAGTGGGCCTTGTCTGGCCGCGGGTGCCGGATGCCGAGCCTCGGGGACGTGGGCGAGCGGGGCTGCGCCCTTGCCTCCGGAGCCCGGAGCCCAGGTGTCCGGAATGATGAAGGCGAGCCAGGGGCACAGCTGGGGAGCAAGAGTCCGGGTGAGCAGCCTGCTTGGACAAGCTGTCCCCTTGAACCGCGAGAACCGGTGGATGAGGCTTAGCTTTGAGGCTGGCACCGGGGGCTAACCAGCTGCTGCTCGCCGAGGAGCCCACCCCGGCACGCGGGCGCTGACAGCGGTCTCCCGAAACTAACTTCCCCAAACACCACTCTGTGTCCGATGAAGGACCACATGCCCAGCTTTCTGAGCCTTGGGCGGGCTTCTGGGATTATGGGCCCGGGAGAAGGGAACGGGAGAGACAGGTACATGAAAGTTGAGCAGGGCTTTGCCAGGTGAATTGGGGTGGATAAGGGAGGGCCTCTAGGCAGAGTGAAGATCCAGGCACAGCTTGCATTTTCCAGATGTGAGGAAGAGCTTGGGATAGGGCTGGTGTATGGTACTCGGCTAGGAATACAAGAGGAGGCTGGAAAGGGGGCCAAAGCGTAAGTTTCATTCTGGCACTGATGGATTACAAAGCCAGGGATAGCTCTGAATTCAGAAAAGTATTCTGTAGGCTGTGTAAAATAACCAATGCCATTATTGCCACATTCAGTTATTTTACAACATGCTCTGGGCCAGGCCTTGCCTGCCCTCAAGATGCTACGGGTCCAGCTCGGAACCCAGATATGTGTGTTGGTGACAGTAGCTCAGTATGCTCAGTGGCATCCTGGGGGCATGTACCATGGGCTAGGACCTATGCTGAGGATTTGAGGGAATAGGAGTTATGCAGACTCCACGTGACTTTTCTCCCAAGCGGACTACATCCTCAAAGAAGCTGAAGTCCAGATAACAACTAGTCTAGGTCTCTGTCTCCCCCAAAGCCTGGAAGTGCTGACTCTATTCTATGGGAAAAGGACTGTATGTTTTCTTTTAAATTCCCCTTCTCTCCACGGAGGGTGAAAAGGGAAAGAACCCTCTGTCATGCCTTCATCCATCCAACACACTCATATTCCTCTTGCACATATCTGGGCTGAGGGGATAGTACTTTCCCCTAGATCTGGCCCAGTGTGACATCTCTGAAAGCCCAAAGAGGGCCCAAGAGGTGCAGCCAGCCCCACCCTCATGGCTGCATCTTCCTAGAGGGCCCTTTTCCAATAATCCTCACTGCAGGTTGTGCCTCACCTGGAGGATGTGTTGGAGGCGCTGAGCTGCTGTCCCAGGCCTGGCCCCTCTCTGAACCGCTCAGCTGCTGTCCACCAGCTATGACTCACAATGCCTGCAAGCCAGACTAGCCCAGGACAGAAGGGGTGCCGACAGTGTAGCTATAAAATAGACGGCTTTCCCCATATTCCTTCGACACACAGCATTTGCTGTGTTCCAGGCACAGCCCTGCAGAGCTGGAAATAGGAATTTGATGTAAGGGAATAAACAAGATAGTCCCTCATGAAGCTTACTTAGGATGTCATGGTTCAAGTTCCCAGAAGCAGAGCCTGAGATAGGAATTCTTGTTTGACTGATTTATTGGGGAAGTGCTCCCAGGAGAAGGGAGTTAAGGAAACAGGACAGGGCAGGGAAACAAACTAAAAGAAACAGGAGAGTGGCCTCAAGTGGAAACTAGCTTCAGCCCCATCCCACTGTGTATATTACACCATGGAGTTAGGCCTCCTTACCACAGGAAAGCCGGTCTTTTGTACCCTCTCCCTTCTCTTCCATCCCTCTTTTCCCATCAGTTATTGGCAAGGGCAGCTGTGAGTTGTCAGCCAACGCATAAGACACATATGGGGTGAGTGCATCACCAGGAAAGGGGATCTGTGGGGCCCTAACAGCATAGATGAGGGATAAAGAATTTTTAAAAATGAAATAACTAAGAATTTGACTGATACATACAATGAAAAAAACTGAGGACTACAGAAAATGACTTTAACACATGGTGTTCAGTGAAGGCATTTGATGTTCATGTTAAGACCTGAATGGGGCAGCCTGGGTGGCTCAGCGGTTTAGTGCTGCCTTTGGCCCACGGCATGATCCTGGAGACCCGGGATCGAGTCCCACATCAGGCTCTCTGCATGGAGCCTGCTTCTCCCTCTGCCTGTGTCTCTGCGTCTCTCTCTCTCTCTCTCTCTCTCTCTCTCTCTCTCTCATAAATAAAATCTTAAAAAAAAAACAAAAAAGACCTGAATGACGAGGAGGCCTCGTGAAGATTGAGGGCTGCAGGCAGAAACGAGCTGGGCCTGTTGGGAGGACAAACATCCTGTGTTGAGAAAATGGTAGGTAATGAGGTCAACCCTACCTGGCAAGCGCTCCAAGTTGACTGCCATCACCTCAGCTTGGCATTCCTGACCCCAAGGACCTCTTCCAGGGTCTTCCCAGTTAATTCAGCCTCTTGCATGGCCCTCCAAGGAGTCAGACCCAGCTCCAGGGGAGCTCATATCCTGGAATAGAGCCAGGTGGTACCATCACCTCCTGGGAAATTTTTGTCTTGAACAGTCTTATTAAGGTATAGTGGATGGGGCACCTGGCAGGCTCAGTTGAAAGACCATGAAACTCTTGATCTTGGGAGTCATAAGTTCCAGCCCCATGTTGGCTATAGAGATTTATTTAAAAAAAAAATTCAGAAGGTTTTATTTATTCACTTGAGGGAGAGAAAGGGAGAGCATGAGTGAGCGAGCAGCAGGGAGGGACTGGGACAAGCAGACTCTGTGCTGAGCACAGACCCCAACATGGGGCTTGATCCTATGACCCCAAGATCACAGCCTGAGCCAAAACGAAAGTCAGATGCCCAACTGCCTGACTGAGCTACCCAGGTACCCCTAGAAAGTAAAATCTTTTTTTAAAAGATTTTATTTATTTTTTTGAGAGCACAGACAAGGGGAGCAGCAGAGGGAGAGGGAGATGCAGACTTGCCCCCAAGCAGGGAGCCTGATGTGGGGCTCAATCCCAGGACCCTGAGATCACGGCCTGAGCTGAAGGTAGACAACCAACTGAGCCACCCAAGTGCTCCAAATGTAAAATCTTTAAAAAATTTTTTGAGGTATAATTGACAATGACAATTTTTTTTTGGTTAGATTTTTGTATTTGAGAGAGAGTACATGAACTGAGAGGGAAAAGCAGGCTCCTCTGCTGAATGAATAACTGTGGCAGGTGTATGTTTACCTCTTTATGAAGTTACCAGACTTTTACTGGAATGATACCACACCACCAACTGCTGTGAAAGAGCTTCTGTTCTTCCACATACTTACCAACACTTTGTATGGTAAACCTTTTTAATTTTTGTCGTTCTGGTGTGTATATCTAAACTGTGGTTTTAATTTCATTTCCATAATGGCTAATGATGTTGACAGTGTCTTCATGTGCTTATTTGTTACCCTCTTTGGTAAATTAAGGTCTTTGCCATTAAAAAAAAAACTGGATTATTTGTCTTATTGAGTATAAGGAGTTCTGCTATGCTAGATAAAAGTGCTTTGGTGGGTATGTTTTACAAATATTTTCTCCAATTCTGTAGCTTTGCCTTTCAAAGGGAAAGTTTTTAATTTTAATAAAGTCCAGCTTATCAATTTTCTCTCTTATAGTTCTTACTTTTTGTATCATATTTAAGAATTATTTGCCAAACCTAAGATCCCTGAGCTTTTCTCCTTGTTTTTCTTCTAGAAGTTTTATGGTTTTAGCTTTACATTTAGGTCTGTGCTACATTAGAATTGATTTTTTTTAAGGTTAATTTATTCATTTTAGAGAGAGAGCACAAGTGGGAGGGGCAGATCGAGAGGGAGAGAGACTCTCAAGCAGACTCTATGCACTGACATGGAGCCCAATGCAGGGCTCCATCTCAATGACCCTGAGATCATGACCTGAGCTAAAACAAGACTCAGACACTTAACCGACTGTGCCACCTAGATGCTTTTTTTTTTAGTTAATTTTTGTTTATCATGTGAGGTGAGAGATGATTTTTTTTTCATATAGATATCAATGTGACCTAGCACCAATTATAGAAAAGACTAGGCTTTCCTCTCTAGTTGAAATCCTGCTGTTGGTCCTGTGTTTTCCTCCCCTGTTGAAATCCTGCGACTTTGTCCAAGTGTTTTTGGCCTCTCTGTTCTCTTCCATTGGTCTCTTTATCTACTCTTGCACCACATCATATTGACTATTGTGGCTTACAGGAAGTCTTTTTTTTTAAGGTTTTATTTATTCATGAGAGACACAGAGGAAGAGAGATAGAGACAGAGGGAGAACCAGGCCCCCTGCAAGGAGCCTGATGTGGGACTTGATCCTGGACCCTGAGCCAAAGGCAGATGCTCAACCGCTGAGCCACCCAGGCGTCTCACTTACAGGAAATCTTAATATCTGGTAGTGTATATCTTCCAGCAATATTCTTTAAAGATTGCTTTGGTTTTCTAAGTCCTTTGCAATTACATATAATTGAATTTCCATCCTAATTTTAGAATCTGAATGTCAGTTTCTACAAATAAACCCTCATGCTCACTGTTCAAAACTCTCTCTTCCTATCACGAGGACATTTGAGAGCTCACATCAGCCCTCAAAAGGTTGTCTGATGGATGTGGAATCAGAGCCCAGGAATATTTTAATCGAGCCAGTGATTCATTCTTTGTCTCTCTGCAAATTGTGTCTGTGTTTTTAAGGCTAATTTTCATTAACAATCTCAATATTTCAGGTAGGTCATGGGTTGCCATGGTCTACAATAACTTTTAATTTCCCTTATTACAAAAAAGGGAAATTATGAAACCCAAGGAGGTCTATTTCTTTGTTTTAATTTTTATTTATTTATGATAGAGAGAGAGAGAGAGAGAGAGGGAGAGGCAGAGGGAGAAGCAGGCTCCATGCACCAGGAGCCCTGAAATGGGATTCAATCCCAGGTCTCCAGGACCGCACCCTGGGCCAAAGGCAGGCGCCAAATCGCTGCGCCACCCAGGGATCCCCAACCAAGGAGGTCTTTATTTGATGATTTGAATAGGAAAAGTTTAGAGATGAGGAACAATTAACATCTTAACTCCTTTCACAAGCTGATCTTGATTCTAAGGAGTGAAGAAAGTCTGTGTCAGTGTCACCACTGGGAAGATGAGACCTGGCACTTTTTAGGAAAGGAGTGCCAGGTACCGACAGGTCTGGGTTTAAGGACATAAAGTTCATTCTAAGGGCACCGAGGAAAGGAGAAGAGGACCTAAACATGAATTCTCATTTCCTCACACCACAGACGAATGCCATAGCAACTGTGAATGTCAGTGGATCCCTTCTTTTGGCAACTGAGAAAAATACTCCCCAAACCAAGGAAGCAAACTCTTTTGTTTTGCCCCATGGCTATTCTATTCACTTGTTTTCTGAGATACTGTGAGTGGCATTTGCCCTTCCCTGAAACAATGACACGTGCTCTGTGCCAAAATAGCAAAGAAAAAAGAATTCTGCATCTATATACAACTTGATGGAAGTCATTTAGATAGTACAGAGGCACCTGGGTGGCTCAGTTGGTTAAGCACCTGACTTTTGGATTTCAGCTCAGGTCATGATCTCAGAGCTGTGAGATCCAGCCCCACATCGGGGCTGGGTAGGGAGTCTGTTTGAGATTCTCTTTCTCTCTCTTTCTCTCTCTCTGCCTCTGCCCCTCCCCTGCTCATATGTTCTCTCTCTAAAAAAAATTTTTTTTTTTATTTATGATAGTCAGAGAGAGAGAGAGAGAGGCAGAGACACAGGCAGAGGGAGAAGCAGGCACCAGGAGCCCGATATGGGATTCGATCCCGGGTCTCCAGGATCGCGCCCTGGGCCAAAGGCAGGCGCCAAACCGCTGTGCCACCCAGGGATCCCTAAAAAAACTTTTTTAAAGTCATTCAGATAGTACAGAACACATAGAACACATTTATAAAGAATGCACATGATTCACTTCACCTTTTTAGGAAGGGCAGATTAAACAGGAAAGGATCCCCATCTGCTCTGTGGCTCATGCTTCTTTTGGGCTTTTTCTTCTCTAGCTTCTCCTTAAACCTTCCTCTTGGGCTTGGTGGTGACAGCAATGGGTTGGGGTGCAGCATGCAGGGCGGCCCCTGCAGTGGTCTAAGGTGGCTATTACTCCTGTCCTTCTTTCCCATGTTCCTCCAAAGCCATTGTACCCTAAAATTAGTTCCACAATGTTCTTTGAAATCTGAAAGTACTCTATGAAAAAATCTTTAACTTTTCTGTTTTAATAAAATTTTGTGCATCATATCACAGCACAAAGGGTGTGCCATCTGAGCTCCAAAACATTTGCCTTGGGGTATTGGGATCAGATCACCAGCCACATAGCACTTATTGCCAGCAGAAAAAAAAAAATTTTGTCGTTTTTTAAGATTTTATTTATTTATTGATGACAGACACACAGAGAGAGAGGCAGAGACATAGTCAGAGGGAGAAGCCAGCTCCACACATGGAGCCTGACGTGGGACTCTATCCAGGCTCTCCAGGATCACACCCTGAGCTGATGGCAGATGCTCAGCTGCTGAGCCACCCAGGTGTCTCAAGGAAAGAGAATCTCAAGCAGGCTCCATGCCCACTGCAGAGCCCAGTGCAGGGCTTGATCTCACAACCCTAAGATCATGAAAGTTGAAATCAGTTGCTTAGTCAACTGAGCCACACAGGAACCTCTCTTTCTACAATTTTTAAAAAATATTTTATTTATTTATTCATAGACACACATACACACACACACACAGAGAGAGAGAGAGAGAGAGAGAGGCAGAGACAGGCAGAAGGAGAAGCAGGCACCATGCAGAGAGCCCAACGTGGGACTCGATCCAGGGTCTCCAGGATCACGCCCTGGGATGAAGGTGGCTAAACCACTGAGCCACCCGGGCTGCCCCATATTTTAGAAATGTAAAGCCTTGAAAAGGGACAACTGGGTGGCTCAGTGGTTGAGCTTCTACCTTTGGCTCAGGGTATGATCACGGAGTCCAGGATCCAGTCCCACATTGGGCTCATTGCAGGGAGCCTGCTTCTCCCTCTGTCTTTGTCTCTGCTTTTCTCTCTGTGTCTCTCATGAATAAATAAATAAAATCTTAAAAAAAAAAAAAAACTCAGTGGGCAGCCCCGGTGGCTTAGCGGTTTAGCATTGCCTTCAGCCCAGGGCCTGATCCTGGAGACCCGGGATCGAGTCCCACGTTGGGCTCCGTGCATGAAGCCTGCTTCTCCCTCTGCCTGTGTCTCTGCCTTTCTCTCTCTCTCTCTCTGTCTCTAATAAATAAAATCTTAAAAAAAAAAAAAGCTCAGAAAATTGTTTTGTTTTCTGCAGAAAGTCTCCTTTTCATTTAAGTGATAACAGGTACTTGTGTAAAAAGGAACT